AAGCTACTAGTAGCTAGAAGCTTCCTTGGGAATCGTTTCACTGGGAATCGTTTCACCTGTAGTAACAAGAAACTACTAGTAGCTAGACGTTTCTTTGGGAATCGTTTCACTGGGAATCGGTTCACCAAAACAAGGTGTTGGCATCGACATAAAATCAACACATTTGCAGTTGCACGGTAAATTGTTAATTCAACCAGAATGTCTCTCGCCTTCACGGACTTCTTTGGATCCTCTGAGAAGGACACCCGTTTGTTCCTCGAAACAAGGCTCAAAACTTATGCCAATGCTGAGGGACTATTCCAATGCTTACGCCGCCATCTTGGCCACGGCAGCAAAGCCGGACTGTTCTGTTTGGCCAAACATGCCAAGACCAAAAAGGCCTTTGCCCTGGGGGGTCCGAGGACAAGTGGTGGATGGACATTCAGCCAGTGAACGGTAACACAGTTGAGTCCCGGGCTGCTCCATCTTGTTCCCTCAAACACACAAGTGGTGTGGTGAATCATGAGTTCTTTCCAGCCAGAGTTTCGTTTGGCTAAGACTAAGAAAGGAATTTATGTGCATGTTATGTGTTTTGATCTATATATATATACCTCTTTCCTACAACTGATTTACTGAAGAACTTGCAAACAAACTCCATCGTCAGCATAAGCATTGGAGCGTGCCCATTAGTTACCACTCGTTCTGTGATTTGGGTTCCATCTTCCCCACCTACACGACATGAATGCATGTGCTCTCGCTGAGGCTCCTGCCCTCCGGTTGGTCGAAGGATGTGTTTGCTGAATGGATTTGAACCAAAATACATGTTATGCATGGTATCGATTCAGGCCACGTGCTCGTGTGAGGTTGACAGGAAAACCATGGCTCCATTTTGAATGCTTTGTTTCAAGAAAGAAACATGTGCTTGGCCATTTGCTGGTTTCTGCGATTTGGTGGCCCTTTTGGACCTTACACCCAAAAAGCATTGGCATAGATAAGTAATATGTAAACACGTGCGCCACAGCAGCGCCTCCGGCGTGGGAGGTGGGCCTTGCTTCTGTCGAAAATGAGTGTCCTAGCAAACACAACCTTCAGGCGTGGAGGGCCAGATTGTCTTAATTTAGAAAACTTGAGGGAAGGTTTAAAAAGATCTTCACCAAAACAAGATGAGCACAGTTATACGAACGTTTGCCAAAACGCACTGTCAAGTATGCACTCCAAAAAACAAGAAAGTGCACCCAACCGCTTGAAGCTGCACCTTCACTGAGGGACCCAAAACGGTCCAACATATATATATATATATGTGGGGATCTTAAAACAAGAAAAACTTTGCTCAAACACTTTTCTGCACTGAGTGAAAACGCTCACGCCTTCGACTAAAACCCTGTCAGGCTCCGCGATTACAACTGAAACCCCTCTTTAACTCCTTGGTTCTTGTCGGGACCCCCCCTCGGGCTCAGGATGCCTTTCAGGCACCGACAACACCTGCGGCTGAAGAGCACTTTGGACATGGTGGTGATCTTCGAGGCCCTCTGATTTCGTGACAGGTGCAGTGAATCGTGACTTTTTGACACGTGGCTCGTTTGCAGATTTCGTGGCAAGTGCAGCTCTTTGTGAACCTCCAGGCACAGCACTTTGCACGTGAACCTCGAAGTGCAGATTTCGTGGCAGGCACAGCGCTTTGTGAACCTCGAAGTGCAGATTTTGTGGTAGGCACAGCACTTTGTGAACCTCAATGCGCAGATTTCGTGGCAGGCACCAGCATTTTGTGAACCTCGAAGCGCAGATTTCGCAGCAGGCACGACACTTTGGGAACCTTCGTGGCAGGCGCAGTGCTCTCAGCCACCTCTCACTCTCTCTCTCTCTCTCGTTCACACTCACACTCACATTCACTCACTCGCTCTCACTCTCACCCTCACACCCACTCTCACTCTCTCACTCTTTACTCTTTCACTCACACTCACATTCACATTCACACTCACACTAACTCACTCTCTCACTCGCACCCTCACTCTCACTCACACTCTCACTCACGCTCACTCACACTCACACTCACATTCACATTCACACTCACACTCACACTCACCTACTCACTCTCACTCCCACTCTCACACTCACTTTCACTCTCATTCTCACCCTCTCACTGTCTCACTCTCCCACACTCACGCTCACACTCACTCACTCTCACTCACTCTCACTCTCACGCACACTCACACTCACAGTCACTCTCAATCTCACGCTCACTCACTCTCACTCACACTCGATCACTCACACTCACACTCACATTCACGCTCACTCTCACTCTCACCCTCACACTCACTTTCACTCTCACTCACACTCACATTCACACTCACTCTCACACTCACTCTCACTCACACTCTCACTCACATCTCTAGACTTTCTGCTTATAGACCTCACACGCACTGTTTGGGGTCTCTTGCCGGGATAGTTCATTTTTAACCTTAACATTTTTCAACCCTGGAACATTTTTTTAACCCTGGACCATCTTTTTTAAACCAGAACCTTCTTTTTTAACCCTGGAACGTGCTTTTTCGACCTTGTATCCTTCTTTTTTAACCCGTCACATCCTCAAACATGTTTTCTAACCCTGTATTTTACGTGAGAAGAGGGAGACACGAAAGGGAAAGCGGTAAGAGAATGCATGTAAAGCATGCATTGGCAGCTATTTACACCAGGAGAGGACAGGGTAAGACTAGAAACCGCCTTGTAAGCGTGAGACGGGTAGCGTAAAATTGCGGTTGGCGTAAAACAGTTAGCGTAAGCCTGAAAACCCCCACGGGCGGGTGGTTGGTGTAAAACGTGGTGTAGGAGTAGCAGTGGTTGGCGCACGACGACCGCGCAGGGGTGTCGACAGTGGTATAGAACGTGGTTTGGTGCAAACGGTTGTTGGTGTTGAAAAAAGTTGGTGGGTTGAAAAATATATTCAGGCCCCCCCCTCTTTGGAGCCATTCTCCTTGGCAAGCAGGTTCACCTTTGGCCCGCTCTGATGCCCCCTCGGCTGATGTCCAAGCTGAAGCCAACTGAGTACTACTACCGTTTGCAGGGTGACTTGAATTTGACATGAACAGGGAACCACTGAAACATGACAAAAGCAATTTAAGGATATACAGGAACCCAAAGCCTGACCAACTTCAAGTGTTTCAGAGCTAAGTAGGTTTGGAGGACCAAATGGGCCAAAATTATCTGCGCAAGCACTCCGATCGGTTTGAAACTGTCCGGAAAACGGCCGCGCCTTGACCACGCTCACCAAAGTCCCGTTAACAGAATTTGGTAAATTCTTGCTGAGCTGCGTTCGACGACCTTGCTGCTTGTCAAAGGTCTGGATCAGCCCTGCATCGATCTTCTCTTGGATTGCCTCCTGAAGAAAAATGAGCAAAGCTAAAGCTTGTACATCTTTGTCGCGCCGCTCACACACTTTGCTCATGAAGCTTGACCTGGTTTGACGTTGTTTCACGCGATTTAGCTTATATATTTTTCAGTTACACGCAAATGGTCTTCAAACTAGCCTGAAGCAAATTCTAAGGTCTGAAGTAACACACGCATCAAAGCATGCGCCTGCCCGATGTAGTTGTTCTCAAGCCGCAGGTAGAGAGGCAAACCTGGTTTGCATTCCAGAGAAATTGCCAACCTAGAAGTGGCTCTGGCTCTGAACAGGCTTTCTGTAAGGTCGTCCAACTGGATACAGAATAGACTCTACCTTCCACCAGCACGAATCTCATTTCTTCTGCCTTCACCCGGCACGTTCGCGTTGACTAGCGGATACCTCGCGAACAGAATTGAAAGATGGGTTGAGGGGTGTGTTTGTGTATGAATATCATATGGCTGACCAAAAAAGATAAATATATATATATACGGTATACAACTGTTTATATATGTACATTCATACCTACCTACCTACCTACATACATGCACACCTACGAAACATACCTACCATACATACATACATACATACATACATGTCATCACAACCAGGGTGGCAGCTGGGTGCCCACAAGCACCACTACTAGCCAAGACCTTTCTGCAACCCACCCTCACCCAATTCCAAAGTGACAACCCCGACCTGCACCTCAATGGACGGGTAGATGACATAGGCTTTGATGGCAGTCACACAGGCGCGCAACATCTGGCCCAGAGAACAGTCCAAGCCTGGCACCAGCCTGCAAGCAGTTGGGTTGGTTGTCAATAGCCACAAAACGGCCTTCATCGTGACAGATAAGACCATCCACAAAGAGTTGGCCAAGCTACTGAGGCCAAACGACCCGCCAATCCAGACAGTGATGAGAGATTTGGGGATCGACCACTCAGCCGGCAGAAGGAGGAGGATAGCCACACTGCAGCAACGATTCCGCAAGAACAGACAACGGAGGATCAAGCTACGCAGTCTCAAACTACCCAATCTCCGCACCATGGAGTCCAACCAGTGGCTTTCTGGGGCTTCGAAGGCCAAGGACTAGCGCCCAGGTTTCGGTTGGCACTCCGACAGTCCCTGGCCGTCCACTTGGGACTCCATCAGGGTGGGCTCCAAGATGTCATCTATGACCAAGTCAGCGCGAAATTTGCCGACCCAGCGGACCAGGTGGTGATCCAGCACATCAAAGCTCTTCATACCCTCATCACCCATTGGCCAGCAGACCACCGCCAACACATTGAGCAAGCATGGATCACCCTCAGGAACCAGATGCACAAGCACCAACACCCCTGGTACCATGTGAAAGGACCATTGAGCAAACCTTACATCATGAAGCACAACAGCAGCGGACCAGCAGGTTTGCGAGCAAGAAAAACTGCCAGAACTTGATCAGCGGGCTGGATTGGACAACTGCTCGGAAAGCCTACAAACAGCTTCCCAAACAGCAAGTTACCGGCAAGGAGACAAGATCAAAACATGCCCGCTGCGCAACGTCCCTGCCACGCCGAAGCACATAGTGTGGCTTTGCACCTGGCACCACAACCAAGGCCACGAAGCCCTACCCATAGACTGGACTGAGCGGTTACTGGACCCACTGGAAGAGCCCTTGTGGGCGCATGGCTGGATCCGCAAAGAACCACAAGACCACCTCCAAACGGCCATACCGCTCCAGGGGCAAGGGTGTTGGAACACCTTGGAACCAATGCCACTGCAGCCATGGCAGGGCTTGCATCCACACCTTTTCTCTGGGGACACTACTGAGAAAGGCACAATAACGGGCATGGCACCAGGTCAGCAGACCAAAGCCCGACTCATCACTTTAGCCCAGCATGTCCTCACCCCGATCAACGCAACGGGATGCAGCTCAAGCAGCCTATGAGCGAGCCTCCGCAATCTATGATCAGCATGCGGAAGCCTGGCAAAGGACCCTCGACCAAGACCACCTCCAGGTCTACAAACAGGCAGCAGCACGGCTCGAGAAGATCTACAAAGATCCACAACACTACATACACGAGAATCCCGTGCGCAGGGCAGGCACAACACTAAGCAGTACAAGAAGAGGCTCATC